GCGTCTTTGGCAAAGTAGTCGTTTTTCGTATTGGCATCCTAAAGCGTAGTCATAAAATTGTCGAGGTTAATGTTCTAACTTTTGTTGGAGGATCATTTACATAGGTTAATTTGTTACTGAAAAATGCTTTTTGGAACATCCTTTGCTTTTGGACTGGTCTCAAGGCAGCAAAGTTTCTCATACATATTCCTGTTTGTCTCTTTAAGTTTTATTTAACGAACGTTGCAGGCTTTGTATGTGTTTTTATTTTTTATTTTTTTTTATGGGTGACGGGTGATGTGGAGAAGTCTGTTGCCCTGGTGGTTGATTGGCCTTTTTAAATGGCTGAAACAATTGGGAGGGGCCATGGTTTGAGACTTGCATATACATATATATATATATATAATAACTCTTTGTGTGATTAATTTTTCATACACTAACACTGTATATATTAAGAGGTTTAGATGCTTGTTGCATCATTATAATTATAATTATAATTTTAAATTTCGTTCATATAATATGTATCCAAACCCGTTACTATACACACTATTAATGTATGAAAACTGATTATGAGAACACATCGATCTCAGTATATGACTAATATATGAGGTAGGTTTAGAAGTAATGCATTAAGAATAAGTAAATCCCTCGACTCTTTCGTACCAATACAAAGCCAAGGGAAAAGAATTTGCAAGTTTTACAACTCATTTTTTTTTTTACAGTGCAAGTGGGAGGGTTTAAACCGCAGAACTCTCACTATTTGTTTTGACTTGTTCTAAGATTAAAAAAAAAGTTAAATTTAGGATGCAACCCTCAAATACACTTTTTAAAATAATATTTAACTTTCAAGTTTGAATAACACAAAAAAATCGAATAATGTTAGTATCTTTTTCTTAGATTTTTTTTTTCAAAAATTGGCTAAAATTTTTTACGCCAATCTCAATTTACTATTGCTTGACCTATTCCACTTAACATTCGTTTTAGCAACAGCTTTGTCAATGTTCAACAAATGAAGGAAAGCAACCCTTCAAGAAAAAAACAAGAGTTGGGCAAAAGTACAACCATGAACTTAGGAACTGCACATTGTGGCTCAAATTGTTTGGAATTATATAGTCGCTGCACCTTTTGTCAATGCTAAATCTTAAAATCAAGAAATGTGGTTCCAATTCTTCAAAATCAACACTAATAAGTAATTGCGGTCGGAGCACACCAATACTGGCGACGAAGTCAACTCAGCATTTTATACTGTGGTTCAGGAAACTTCAATACGTGGCAAATGCAATGCCGCGCCAAGTTTCTTGTGAATTGATTAGTTTTGACTTTCCATTACACAAAAAGAAAAGAAAATATAAATTTATCATTTTAGAAAGAACTTATTCTAACTTTAAAATACTATTCTGACATTATCGCCGGCCTTAGTTTTTTTTTTAAATAAAATATCATAATTGCGTTAAAATCTACATTAATGATAGAAATTACATCATCAAACATAATATCAAAAAACAGATTTGAAGAACAATAAAAATTATATTATAAAATTTCAAATTCAAAATATGAGATAAAATAATTATAATTCTACGAACATATATGATCTGCTAATTAACTGTTTCAAGTCTAGATATTATGGTAAAATCTGGTGAATAAATCCAACAAATTCCATATCTAATAATCAAGATCTGAAAAAACTCAGATCTAATAAGATACTAATAAATTAGACCATTAACAAATTCCAAATATTATCACCGGCCTCAGTTGCTTTAGTTGGATGAATTTTTAAGATACTAATAAATCAGACATCAACAAATTGCGTCCATTTTACTCAAAACTATACATCACAATCCAACAAAGTTGGATTATCAGTGCCCATTAGTGTCAAAATTTACATCACAATACCTCGCCAGCACAAGAAGACTGACCATGAAGTCCAGTAGGGGTGCGCACAGGTCGGGTACCCGCCCCTAACAAGATTTGGCTGACCCGACCCTAAAATATCGGATCAGCCATTTTGCGACCCTAACCCGCTCCTAATATTTTCGGTACCCGCTATTCGGGTACCCGAAAAAAAGGGGCGGTCATAGGGTACCCGCTCCTAAAAAAAATTATTTTTCAATAAAAAGATATTTTTCACTTAATATCAATATGTTTTCCAATAAAAAAAATATGCTTTCCAATTAATATTGGTAGAGATATTATAATCAAAATCCATACATCACCATTCTCACATATTTCATCCAATAATCAAACTGATTTCATAAATTTAGTACATATTACAATTATAATATCTAATAGATAAAACGAAATTTTATAATAATTTTGAGTACATCACCATTCTCACGCATTTCATCCTTCTACAATATAACAAACACATGGATAATAAGTATATGACAACTTTTTCAACTTCCTTAAGGATGTTATGGTACAAGATTGCATCCAAAATGAGTCGATTGTGGAATCAAATCCGGAAAAGAATTGAACAGAGCTAATAATTTTTGAAGAAAGTATAACCAAAATAATCTTGAAAAATTTTCCCAACTTTCTTACATCGTTGGAATAGACCTTGTTGCATTAAAGGTGATGAAAAAGAAAAATAAATTTCTTGCACTAAAATAAAAGGAGGCAAATTTAAGAGGCACAATTGCAATAAAATAAATAAATAAATGAAAGACACAAATGTTTTAATTATCTAGCTAACAAAAAATTGGAGCTCCAAATACAAATTCTTGATTGAATTGATGAAAAATTTGTAGGAAAGATCGATGGAAGTAAAATAAAAATGAAAAAGGATGAAAGGAACGAACAATTTTTATGATAGAGTTTCACAAATTTTTCTTTGTTTATTCATTTGGTTCAGATTTCGCCAAGAATATTCGCTTTTTTTAGACAAAATGAGGAGAGGCGGATCATATGAGATTAAAATATGAGGTTGTGAACCACTTTACTTACACTTATGATTAAAAATTATAAAATTATATAATGAACCCTTTTTTTTTTTAATATTTAGATAATATATCTTGCGGGTCGGGTACCCGCGAGTTTTTATTTTGCTGATCCGTATCCGTATCCGTTTTTGCGGGTACCCGACCTGTGTCTGCCCCGCTAAGAAAAATAGGATCGGATATCCTATTTTTCGGATCGGATCGGGTTAGCCGGGTTTCGGATCGGACCGGGTTTTTTGCCCACCTCTAAAGTCCAGTGTAGGTCCTTTGTATTTAGAAGATTCACACTACAATTTCATTCTATAAATACCATCTCCAGTCGCATTGCTTAGCACCCCAGATCCTCTTCAAGAACTACACATTTCTTCAAAGCCTTTGTTCCTGAAGAGAACTTTTGTTTACTCCCAAACACCAAGCAAGGCATCATGGCCCCTCTCACTTGTGATTATGAGGTCCCCTGCTCAATCCCTCCTGCAAGGTTGTTCAAGGCCTTCATCCTTGATGACCACTTCATTACTAAGGTGCTGCCACAGGCCATTAAAAAGGTCGAAATCGTTGAAGGAGATGGAGGAGTGGGATCCATCAAGTTGATCACTTTTGGTGAAGGTTAGTTCTAAAGATTCACTTAATCATCATTTCATAATTTTTTGTCCATAAATTCTAATAATTTTATATATATATTTTTTGAACTTTGTTGAATGTTTAGGTAGTCAATATAAGGGTGCAAAACAAAGAGTCGATGGAATTGACAAAGACAACTTCACCTACAGCTATACTATTCTTGAAAGCGATGCCTTCAGTGATAAGATTGAAAAAGTAGCTAACGTGATTAAAATCGAAGCCTCAGCTGATGGAGGGTCAATCTGTAAGACCACCAGCACATACTACCCCAAGGGCAATATCGAGTATACCGAAGAACAAATTGAGGGAGCAAAACAGCAAATTAAGGCAGCAAAAGAAAGGTCCTCGGCCATGTTCAAGGCTGTGGAAGCCTACCTCATCGCAAATCCTGATGTATACAAGTGATCAATGCTGCTTCATATATGTCCACATACTTGTTGGATGATTGAAATAAACATATTGAGGATCTGTTTTCTTTGGTAGCTCTTTTCTTGAGCTTCAATTGTTGGGTAATGCGATTTTAATGTATCATCAAACTGTGTTTTGCTTGTAATATTTTACCGGTCATCAATAATAAATCTTGTTTGAAGCTTTGATTTGTGATTGCGCCGTGAGTGACACCTAAATTTTTAATGCCTATGTCGAAATTTGAAGCACCTCATTGATTGGAGAATCCTCAGAAGAAATCTATCACCATTTTAGCAATTGCCAAAAATTTGCTTATGTAGTTTAAGGTTAAGAAATGTCAAAGTTGGTTAGTTGAGTTCTTCACTATCTATGGAATCCATAGTTTCTGTTGATTATAAATGTCTACAATTGTTGCATCATTGACTATTAGCACCCATAAGTATGCTTATACAAGTGTCTAGCCTCCAACTCAGATGGAGTGCTAAGAAAATACAAGAAAAGTGAAAATTTTGTTTCAAAAAACAGTCATCTATAGTTATTTATACAATTATTACTAAAGTGGTCCAATCAAATCCCTTTTTGAGTATAAGGGATTTCAAACCGAATTTAGCAACTTTCATACTCTATTTTGCCAGTGAGAAGGTGTCACCTGTGGAGCTGAACACAGCAGAGTAACCATCATTAGTTTAATTTCCAGAGGGACTGACGTATAAACTGAAACTTTTGTTATATGATAAATCTCCACAACAATACCCTTCAATGTGGAATTTCTATCAAGTTTGGTTATCGTCTTGAAATGAAGATTCTAGACCTGACAGGAATCTTCTCGAAGGGAAGGGCGGATACCAGCCAACTTGTCTAACTGATTCAACCTTAGTTGCCTTGCTGTGGCAATTAACACACTTGGTCAGAGACTTCCAAAACTTGGTTCCTTAACAAAAACAAAGTTCATTCACTACAACTACTTTACAGGAGCCAATACTCTTTTTTCTTATTTGGGGAAATCTTACCTCTCTTCTGAGTTTATCAGCTGCTATTGATGCCCTCTAAGGAGAACTCCAGATGCACTGAGAAAATTAAGATTCCTAACATTCTGCAGCAACAATCTATCAGGTATATGCCCATCATCCATTAACATGGTGGAGAACTTCCATCAGGCTTTGTGCTCGTGCTTCCCCATCTTCATCTTTATCAGCTTGGAAGCAACAACTTTACTGGAGCTCTTCCACTTTCACTATCAAATTCTACAAAGCTAAGGCTGTTTAAGTTGTCAAGCAACAGTTTTACTGGAAAGGTGTCAATTTTTTTAAAACCTACAACAGCTTATGGAGATACTTCTCCAGAAAAAAACTAATGTTGTTAGTGGGGAACTAGATGAGCTCAATCATTTTTGAATTCACTAACTGCAGCAATCTGGATTTTACGATGAGCTATAACAAATGATGCATGCAGATTCTCCACTAAGCTTGTACAGTTTGCAGTAACTTCACACAGGTTTATGGTGACATTCGTTGTGCATTGGTGATCTTGTCAACCTAAATTGGTTATTTATGGAGTATTATGACAAGCCCACTGCCCTTTTTTCCCACTGGAATTGGTAATCTTCAAAAGCCAAAAAAGGCTGAACTTTATCAGGAAACCTTCCATATCCTATGGGAAATTGTTGCTCTTGAATGATCTATGGCTGAATGAAAACAAATTAAAAGGATATACGCCTGCAAAATTTGGAAACTGTCAAAACTTACTAGTTCTCAATCCTTCCAGAAATAAGCTCAATGGAACCGAAGTAGAAAGTCTCTTCAGTATAGCATTGTTATCAATCATTAAGTCTAGCACAAAACCATTTAACTGGATCTATTCCTTCAATTCTGGCAACCTGAAGAATTTTGTTGAGTTGGCCATATCTGAAAATCATTTATCTTGTCCAGAGAACTTTCTTGGGACCTGCAGCAACCTAGCATATTATACCTAAAGGGGAACTTCTTCCAGGGGCCTGTCTCTCCAGCTAAGCAGAGTTCACAACTAAGATCTTTCTCTCAACAACTTTATGAAGAATCTATTATATCCTTTTGCAGACATTAGTGCTGTACCAGTTATCAGACATAATAGTCGTACAGTGTGCGTGCACCTGTTCTTAGCTGTAGAGATGCAACGTCAGAAAACGAAAGCTACGGAAGATGTATGTTATCCACAAAATGATCCCTTCAGTAGTTTCTATGGTTCTTAGAGCCACCCTGTTGTTGTCTTTTATCTACTGCTTTATTTGGAGCATAAAAAAGTTTTCCCTGCAGAATCAACCACAGAAAATCCACCTGGAACATTCTTACAGGAAAACTACTTCAAGCAAATAATGGATTATCCAAAGACAAAGTAATTTGTATGCTAGCTTTGGTGCTGTTTAGGATAATTTGACCACAATGGACTAACTATCACTGTTGAAGTAATCAATTTTCAACATAAAGGAGCTTCCACAAGTTTCTTGTTGAACATCATCTTTAGGCAAGTGTTTGGCAGAAATCATATTAAGATTACAAACTGCTTGCTCGAGTATTGATTTTCACAAAAATGAGTTTATAGCTCTACTTCTTGATTAAATGCCCAAGGGACGTCTAGACAAATAGAAACATCCAACAAACTAAATCTTTTTCAAAGAACAAATATTACATAGGAAGTTCAATTCATTACGTTCACAACCAGTGCCAGAAACAAATTTTTGTGATATAAAGCCAGGTAATGTTCTTCTTGCCATGATATAACGGCTTGTGGGAAATTTCGGTTTAGCCAGATTTCTACTAGAAGTGAAAACTTTGTATAAGTATGGTCCAACAGGAGTAAAAAGGAACTGTAGGCTATGGAGGTCCAGGTGATAAATTTTTGCTTTGCTCGGAATTTGCAACATTGTTCTTTCTAAAAGAAGTTATAAAAAAAAAAACCCTTAAAAAAATAGCATTAACACATACCATATAACTAACGAGGTATTTCTCAAATTTCAAAATGTTTATGATTCTGCAACTGTCTAAAGCTTCCATATACAATTGTTTGATTTGACTAGTTGACATTTAGCCTGCTAAATACTGTGGTATCTTAAGTCCTCATGTTACAGCATTCTTTTCTTTACCCAACAGTTCGAGGTTTCTAGAGTAACATCAGATGGGCAATTATAAAAAATCTTCTTACTTGCAAATTCTTGAAAGATGCCTGAATATGGACCAGGAACAGAGCCATCAAGGAGTTGGGCTGTCTACAGTTTTGGTATCTTGATCCAGCAGACGACGACCAGCAAGAGGCCAATGGTCACTATCCACAACTTTGCCAGGATGGTTTTGCATGACTATACTATAAGAAATGTGGATACAATTAGCTCTAGAGTATGAAGACGAAGAAGAGAAAACAGAGTTAATTGACTAGAAAAAGTCTTCAAACAAGAGAGAGATGGTGACTTACTGAAATACTGCTTCATTCAGTAGTCGATGTTGGATATGACAGTTCTAAGGAATCACCACAAAACAGATTGGAAATAGCAATGCTCTCCAAGAGCTGTGAGATTTCAGCGAAATCCTATGACAACATGTCCGTTCCATGGTGACCTGATGATCTCATACACCAAGCTATGCTCAGAAGAGAAAGAAACCCCACCCCCACCCCCCCCCTTTCCCAAAAAAAAAAAACAACACAGCAAGACAAAACTAAGAACAAAGAAGAAAGTAGATGTAAGGTTGGGATAATGCCAGACCTTGGGCATAAATTCCTATTGTAATTACCATATAGAAAAGTAACACGGGTAAAATCAGGTATTCCCTTGTGATGTGCATAAACAACTCTTACTATAAAGATAAATTTACAGGCAAGACCAATTTCTTTTGCTTTGCTCTGTCAGTAACAACTATCAATATGTCGTTTACATGCTTGAAGAAATTAGACCAGAAAGTTTACCTAATAAAAGCTACTATATTTTGACTAAAAACAACAGACTGAAATAGAACAAACTTAGAACCAAAATTTAGAGTAACACAAGATGCCAAATAGGATAAAACACCATATATGAAGAAACAAAACTTAGAATCTATCTCAAACAAAGAATAAAGTCCAACAAACTTTTCAGAACATTTAGCCGCACTATAACTGCATAATTGAAACAAATGCCCAGTCAGACTACATCATAACAACTCATAACTTGCAGCCCTTCAGTTTAATTCCAGGGATTTATTAGAGATATGGTAATTCAGAAACACACATAAGTTTGTTAGCATAAAGAATAGAGTGGAAAACAGGAAACTCAGGGGATTTAGAAAAGAGAAATGCTAATAAAGCACCAACAAAAGAAAAACAAAAACTATCAAATCTCTACAAACCAAGTCATGGACAAGTGGCCTCTACCTATTTCTCCCAAGGGAGTGATCAAAGGATACTAGAAAGGAAGAGTGGGTTGAGAGAGAGAGAGAGAATACTCCGTTCTAAAATAAAAGAGTTGCAGACAGAAGTGTGAACATAGTATTAAAATGCCAATTATAAAATTGGAAGTTTATCTCCCCACTCTTTACTTAATAGCCAAAGTGAACAATATGATATTGCATGCACAATTGTGCATTAGAATGTGGATTGGAATTGCCAGATATGGATTTACCATTTATTTTAGTATTTCATTTCAATTGAAGTAGATAATATAACTGCAGTTTATTATTGAACTAACAAAGCATTTGGAATCTTACAAACTAACATGCCTAATTAAGGTAATGTTTTCTGCAAATTATCCCTTTACTGATCTTGGCATGGGGATTCCTTTGCTTGCAGCTAGTTGTAGATAACTAAAAGCACTCTTCTGGATCTTTAAGTTCCACAAAGTATCAAAACATAACATCTAAAAGTATACAACCATGAGAGCCTACATCTCCTGTAACTAATACTTGCACATTCCAAAAGGAAAATATAATATCTCATACATATGAAAACCTTTTAAATGCACTCCGACAAAATTGTTCTCCTCTCCTGGTTGGAAAAGATGAAGGTTACTCTAGGAAATAAATGTAGAGCTTGATAGTAATGGAAGTCAAATCTCAACAATCAAACTTTTGAAAGTGTAGCAGACAAAACTAATTTCATGGAAAGCATATTGGATGTCATCATATTCCAAGTGGCAAGTATTAATCAAGTTGCTTAGACAGCATTTATATTAGAACAAAAACTAAAAAATGGCTTAATCTCCATAAAGGAAGAAGTTATTGTGTTTGATAAAGCATTCCAAATATGTATAAAGCAGTATATTCTTCTATCCAACAAATAAAATTTGTGCAAATACCAATACAAGCTCATAAATCTGTGGTTGATGATTAGGTTGGATCAAAACAAATAATAATTAGGCTGGGTCCAGAAAATAAAAGCAGATCATTCCTAATTAAAGAGAAAATTGTGAAGAAAGAACTTGCAGGTTTCTTTTCAGGCAAAAATGGCCTGGACACAAAATCTTAGCCAGGTCATGCCACTAGGGTTTAGTGATATAAAAGAACTAAAGCAGTCAATGATTTCAAAGATCACAAACTCAAGTAAGCAATGTATGGGTTCCATTGTGCATTTCATCCATAATCTGCATAACAGAACTTCTAAATTACCGCCAGTGTGATGCTAAAATATTGATCTGGATCATATTCTGTCACTTGTATCATATATACATCGAACTCTCTTGTCCATTCTGAAATCCTAAACAAAACCTGGATGTGCTCCTACTCACACCAAAGAGATTCCAGGCACAATTCTTCATCTAGGACATAAATCATATTAGAATTTCATTCTCAACAATTCATCAGTAACCAGAGATCAAACCACTAATTGTTGGAAACTACAGGCCCTTGAGTACAATGAGTTTCAATATTGATGGTAAATAGTTTTAACAGAGGGGGAAATTTTCTGGATAGAAATTCTATTTGCAGAAAAGACATAACCACAGACGACTATACCTCTGCGTTCTCAAGCTTTTGCACAAGCCTTGGCTTTCTATTTTAGATTCTTTCCTTGCCAGTCTCCATCAAAAGAGACGAAAGATGAGGTAAAGGAGAGGAAATTTGTAAAAGACAGAGGCAGTATTTTCGTTGCAACTACTTTCACTAATGCCTCTTTCCATTTCAAATCAAAAGATCTCCAACAATAAAAGTTTGAAGCGTCAAATGATACCCAATTATTGGATCCTGCTTGCACAAAGATGAAGTGCTGTATTTGCAGAACTACGAGCATGAAAAGAAAGAAGTCTTGCTCTTTTGGAGATCAGAAATCCAGTTAAGAAAAAAACTTAATACATTTATGGCCTATTTTTGCATTACTAAAATAGTTAACACCACATCAATAAGGATGGTTAGCATCTAGCAATAAGATTATTGCATCATAGCAACAGAATTTGTCTACTCTAGATTCCACTCAAACAGGCAATGTGACAACTCAATTTGGAATCCATCAAGTGGCAACCTCTTCAATTATTTTAGTATAACGTGAAATATTCCAAATATTTAAGCTTTAACCCATTGCACTGTTTTGCTAGCAGCAGGTTGAAGATTCAATTAGAAAAGATAATGACATAGTGTACAGTATTTCTATTATTAATCACATAGTTTTCTAAACATCCAAAATGGTGAAAAATTATCAAGGCACCCTTTAGAGCAATCTGGTCTGCCTCCACATAAAGTTGACAGAAATGCAAGTAGAAACTATTCAGAACTTGCTAGTGCTAGTCTATGTCATCTGCAACCCCCAATCATTGTTTTGGGAAACCAAGATTCCTTTAAGCATGATCAAATTTTTTACATGCAAAGGAGTGAATAGTGTTAAAATGAAAGTCTCTTTACAGAGTCTTTTCTACGTAAATATGAATACCTAAGCCAAATGAATTGGAAGAGTTCTTAACCACTTGAAAGACCAAAAATTAGAAAATATGCAGTGAAACAGCTGAATTGCGGAACCAAGCAATTGCAACTTTGGTCTGAATTTGAGAATCAAGGTCTACTAACCACCAATTTTTGAGCTTTCCATGAAGTAATTCTACTCAACTTTCTAACAGTATGCGATTTTTCCCAAGGCTCACTCCTAGTTTTAAAGCAAACCCAGCTAACTTCAAAGAAAATGCAATCGGAAAACAAATATGGTAATAAAAATTTTTCAGACAATCACTGTGGTAGGATGAAAGGATCACTCAACAGAAAATCATGATGCAAAATAATTCTCCTTGGAGTGTTTCAGAAGATAGAGTAAAACTAACATATTCCAAAAGACCACTAATTTTAGGCCTGTTAGCATATCATTCTACAGTTTAAACTTAGAGATAGTGAAAAAATCTGACCTCCGTCCAATGAAAGCACCTTAAGAGAAAAAAACAATTAAATTTTTCATCATGTAAACCAAATCCCATTCTTACGTCACACCAAATACAGAAGATTATTCAGCAATGTGTATTTAATTTATGCTTCAAAACAACAACAATTTAGAAATAAGTAGAAATTCTCAAAATTTTGATTTTTTATGAATTAGCTCTAACTCTTACAGTTTGCAGACAATGACAATTGACAAAAACAGTCATACTACACTCACTCATCATTTCCCTTTACTCTTTTTCCCGCATCAACACCATGACCATCATCCACCTCATCATCACTAACATCATCAGCATCACTAGCAGCATCATCATTAGAATTAGAGGGAGGAGAAGGGTCAAGCCTAGCAGCATCAATAGCCCACTTAATTACCTTCTCCACTTCATCTTCTTCTCCAGCACCATCATCATCCATCAACTGCTGCTGCTGCTGCACTTGACCATCTCTAACAGAAGTATTATACGAAGGAAGAGAACTCTTGAGAGCAGCAAATCTTGCAAAAAGATCATCACTTTCATCGATATTTTGCAAAACCTTTTCTGGGTTTTTCTGGGTTGTGCCTGCTGTATCATCAAGCTTTGATTTTGATATTGATTTTGAATTTGATTTTGATTGATGGGGTTTTTTCAGGGCTAGAAAGCGTGAATCAAGATCAGGGTCAATGCTAGAAAATTGAGAGGAAGAGTGGGTCATGTGGGAATTGAGGCGAGTTTAAGAAGCATATCATCTTGTGCAGCTTTCAGCAATTCCTCCACTTCATCTTCTTCAACTGACTTCTCCATCTTCTTTCTGCCGTCGTAATTACTACTACTCATTCTATTGGATTGGAATTTTTGGGCTCTTTCTCTCCGATATTACTAATTCTTGCTTTTGAAATTTTGTTGGAGTGCAATTTGGGAAAAATATGCAGAGACTTAATTGCAATTTGCCCTCTAATTAGGAATTAGTTTCACTTTTGCACGCTATATAAGTTTTATATACACTTTGCCCCCCAAGGTTTAAAAGTCTAGTGTTACTTCATTCATGCGCAAGAGTGTAATACTATAGATATCCTTGACTATTTTTTCCCTAGAGTGAAGGGCCAAAATTATCACTCAACTATTAAAAATGGGACAGTTTGATCATAACTTTTTTTGTGACAAAAAAGGTCGTTAAATTGGAAAATGTGCGCATTCGAGTTATTTTGTCAATTTCTACTAGTAAACCATTCGGTTACATGGGTCCTGTGTTGGACGAATATTCTCGCATGGACAAGAATGCCCAAAAGGGTATTGAACAAGCGAACCCCACAGATTGAAACATCCCGAAAGTTGACCAAGTGAAAAACTCCTTATCTTGTTCGGTAAATTAGGGAGATAGGTGGCATACAATGAGTTTTGCAGCCTAATCATTTCACCAACTTCATAATCGAGGAAATTGTGAAGTTTGTGATTTTAATGGATTGGGTGAAGCAACCAAGGGATGAGTATACTGATCTGTACACGATTTAGGATATGTTTCAGTAAATTATCTTTCAATTAAGAAGTGCTTGTTAAGAAATAGTTAAAACTCTCAAAGTATTAACCCAAAATGGAAAGATGTTAGAAAAAAAGTTAAGGGTGTAGGGACTATGATGTTAGGGTTTAATGGGTTTTTTATGCTACACATGGGACTTGAAAAGGACATGAGTGTATGAACCTCATTTTTGTCATTATAGTAGCTACAAGGAGTTCTATACTAACATATGTTTGTACTAAATTAATTAGGCATAATCTTGGAACTTTTCTTGCATACGTTGACTAATGGGATATCACATTGAGATTTGTGTGCTAAAGAAATGAACCTATAATTTAGATTAAAAAATTATTATCAGACAATAGTTTTATTATTAAAAGATTGAATTTTTATAATTTGTTTTGCCATTAGACGTGTCTGCGTGTTGGTTTTTATGTGTAAAAAAAACCTTGCACTTAAGCTTAAAATATTAATTAATTACCAACTACATACCACTATTTGTTTGTTAGTACAAAACATGGATGCTCATTAAAATATAAATCAATTACCCTATTGAAGTCAAACTGTATGGGCTAACATGCGTACTTGGCAATTGTGTTGCTAACTTGCGTAGAGTAAACTTCCGCCATTGTTGCACATTGGCAGCTCTGCATTCTTGTTTCTATATATATTATGATTCAACTTCACATTCGCATACATTTCATCCTATTGGTTTTTTGCATTTTTTTAGAGTTTTGTTAGCCAACTGTCTTCTTCTCTCTTGCTTAAAGTCGCCATAAGTAAGGTTCTAAAGTCCCAATTCATGGAGTGGCTGACACGTCAAGCCATTCATGCTTCAATTTTGGGACTTGATGTTAGCCAAATTCAACCTGGGAAGCTGGAGCAAGCTATTGGACAAGTGAATCCAAGCATTATTCACCAGAGATGGGTGGTAAGTCTTGGGCACAAGTAGTAGTGGAGCTCAACCAGCTCATGGGGATTGAATCTTAAATTTATTCCACCGGAAGATCAATGCCCAATCCAAGTTGATGGAGGATGTATCTCAAGGATTGGAGAAATAGCAGCATGCGGTAGTAGGCTTTGCTTTGGGATTCAATCCTCCATTTAGCGTTGTCCAGAAATTTGTCGAAAATAGATGGGCTGAAATGGGGAAGGTTGAGGTGATATCCTTGAAGAATGGCATTTTTATATTCAACTTTTCCTCTGCTGAGAGTCAGACATGTGTATTGGAGCAATCTCCATGGCCAATTGCAAGTAAAATGTCATTTTTGGAGCCTTGGAGCCCAGAATTGGATATGAGGAAGGAATAGCTTGATGCTGTCCCAATTTGGATTCAATGAGCTCATCTACGATTGCATTATTATAATGAGGCCTCCTTGAGCAAATTTGCTAGTTACAATGGCAGACCTCTGTATACAGATAAATAGACTGCTAATCAATCTGGAGTAGCTTATGCAAGGTATCTGTGGAGCTAAAATAGGAGCAGTTAGACCAACAAAGATTCCTTATGTGAATGAAACTAGGAAGCTGGAATATTAGGATGTAGAATAAGAGTGGATACCACCTAGTTACACAAAATGCAAAAAGTTTGGACATCAGACTCAGGATTGTCCTATACATATGCTGACAAAGTGGATACCACTATCAAGAGTGCAAAGGGATGAACCTATGCAGATCTCTGTTCCAATTGTGGATAAGGAAGAGGTGGAAGGTGATGGGAGAGTAGCAGAATCAAATGAGGGAAAAGTAGAGTCGGTTATTGCAGAAAAGAAAACATCAAACAAAGGTGAAGTGGTTAATAGAAGAGCCAGTAGTGTAAACAAACGATTTCCAAGGGCAAGGAGAAAATTGAAATTGAGACACAGAACATCCAAAATAGTTACAGCTTACTGGAAGGAGTGGAAGAATGTCCAGCAGTGGAGATGAAAGTAGAAAAACTTGGTAGAGGTGCTCAGAAGAAGGTTTGCACTAAACTTTTCTCCCCTACTATAACATGAGATTATTGTGTTGCAATGTGAAGGGGCTAATTGACCCCTTAAAACAAAACTTGAAAAAATAGTATACAACCAGTTATAGTTGGAATAGTAGAGAATAAAATCAAAGATGTAAATATTAACTATGTCTTTGCACATTGTTTGCTGTAATGGAAACACTATACCAGGAAATGCCAGTTGTATTTGGGTATGCTGGAACGAATCTGTTATGAAATGTGGTCTACTGTCAAGTCACCAGTAGGCTATATTATGTATTGTGGATAGCCTTGAAACTCAGCCGTTTGTGGTCACTGCAGTATATAGGAAAAATAAGACAAAGGAAAGAAAGCTCTATGGCAAATAAAGCCTCTCATTGGGGATATGCCATGGTTGATACTTGGGGATTTTAATGCCATCAGGAATCATACAGAAAAGGCTTGGCAGTGAGGAGTTTGAATATAATGCCATGGAGGATTTTAATGTGTTTGCAAATTATAGATGTGGAGGAACATCCTAGCAGGGGTTTCCTCTACACCTGGTGCAATAATAAGGAAGCATCAGATAAAAATATAGAATAATAGATCAAATATTTGCCAATGAAGCCTGGTATACTCAGTTTCCTCATGTTGAAGTGGAAATGTTGGGACTGGTATGTCAGATCACTCTCCCATCCAAGTGATATACATAGTAGTCAAAGATTTGGGCCGAAAACTTTCAAATTCCAAAAATTTTGGATGAAACATAGGAAGTTGAAATCTACATTGCTAAGATCTGGACTAAAACTATCAGGAGTAATCCTATAGTTGCTATTTGTCAAAAGTTCAAGAGATTAAACGGGGAATTGAAACAGTTAAACAAAATACATTATGGCAGAGTTCGTGTGCTGCAGAAGAAAGAACAAATGCTGGCTACTCAAGCTTTGCTGTAAGAAAAGCCCTTTAATGATGAATCATAACTCAGGAAAGATCATTGATGGATGAATATTATGCATTATCTCATGCTGGGGAGGCTTTTTACAAAGCGAAATCTCGAGTTTTGTGGCAAAAAGAAGGAGATAAAAACATTGCTTTTTTTCATAGAAAGATGACAACACACATTGTTCGGAATAAAATATTGAGAGTGTTTGGATATGTAATATTTGGATTTTTCCAAATAATATGTGACAAAGGTGTTTGGATAACAAGACAAATAACCCAAATAAGGTTCAATATATATCTCCCAACAAATCTCCACATGGAATACGTAATGAAAACCGATAACAAGAGATGTTTCAATAGTTTCCCACGTGGAAATGACTCCACAAACCCATTCCTAAGTGTCATGACCGTTAAAAGCAAAACTCATATCAATTGTTGGCATGAGACTACACTAAGGGTCTTTTTGGTTGGGTGTAAAATATTTTCCCTTGGAAAATGTTTTCAGTGAAAGTCATTTTCCAGGAAAATGATTTCATTTTTATAATTTCCTGTGTTTGGTTAACCTACTGAAAATATTTTCTAAACCCATTTTCTAGTGTTTGATTTAAATGTTCAAGATACTTTCCTACAGAGCTTATGGTAATTGCAAATACTTCCCATTTGATTATAATTTTACTTCACTCTTTACCTTTAGAATTTATGGTAATTACAAATATTTCTCATTTGATTATAATTTTACTTCATTCTTAGCCTTAAAAAATTAGAATATCTGACTTTTTCACATACTTCCATTCATGTTGTACTTTTTCACCAAACTGATATTTCAAATATGCTACAAAGAATCAAGTGTTTGCTTTTGCAAACTTAAAAATGTATGTATAGATTAAGTTATTTGACATACTATTTAGTCACAACACAATTAAAACTCTTCCAGAATTGTTGCATATAGAAAACTGAGTACTCATTATGTATCCTGTCTTTTTAGTTTTGTCATTTCACTAAAAATTTTGCTAGTTGCTCATGTTCAAATATATGACTAAGACAGTGTGACAATTATAGTAACAACAATATTGAAACTAATAGTGTATGCTCCAGAGTTATGCACCATAGTTATGCTGGCAGACCAGAAGCAGAAGTCCAGAACACCAATCAAGACAAATCTAAATTTAAACAAAACACAATCACCACTCATACTCCGAGTAAGTAGTGGCATTCCCTAGTCCTAGAAATTACAAGTCAGATTTTTTTATTGATGAAACTAAACTACATTCACAAAAGGCTTATAGATCACCTTGATATGACAACAATGTGTTTTGC